GGAAAATGAGCAAGGATTGAGAAGAGTGACAACATCTCTTTTATTCAAATTTTATTGGAAGTTTACAAATGTATTACAGAATCAGTAAAACATCATATCCACTTTACAGGGCACGGATCTCAAGCAAAGTGTTCAGAACAGTCTCTGGCAGAGCCCACACCAAAGGCCTGTGATAGGCCTCCCTAACAAACAGCTTGACACAGATAACACAGACTCCAGCCTGCTTTACCTTCTCGGGCCCTCTGAGATTTTGTTTATACACGTGGAATTAAATAGGATCTGGGCAAAGCAACTCTGTGCAGGAAGGATCAAGTTTAAGAGAATAAATGCTAGCCTAGTTTGCTGAAGAATATGGAGGAGTCTTAGGTCTTAGGTTGTTAACTCAAGGTCAGGATTAAACCAGAATACTTTATTGAAAACTATGGAGATCAGTTAGATAGACTCAAGAGGAGGTCTTATTGGCAAGTGACCTCCCAAAATTTAGAAATGTTTGATTGGTGACCTATTGAACATGCATGGCCAAATGCCCAGACCACGAAGGTTTTCTTAGAAAACGCTCAAGATAGAACTAGACATCTATCTTGTGAGTTCATCACATTTGAACCACAGAAATGTCTGCTAATAGCATGTGACCTTTCCAGTCTCCTTTTTATTCCTCCGAGGGAGGCTGGTTCTGGAAGCAGGAAATGAATTTATATAACAGCAATAGCTTCCAACAATGAGTCATGCTCTATAGGGGGCTTGTGATGACTGGACTCCTAATATGAGAAAACAGAAAAAGAAACCAATCCTCCTCCAGCCTGACCTTCTTGGCTTCTGGATGGTCATACAGACAAACTCAGGGGCAAACCACTGACTAGAAGGCAAAGGTTTCTTTCCCATTTCCCTTATGCTCAAAGAGATGTACTTTTCAAAGGGTGCTAATCTGCAACTGTCTTCAAGATCAGTAGTGGAAACCTGTGGAACTTGATCTGCAGAGTCTGGAAATGACACATAAGTGCCAATAAAGACTCTGCTCACATGTGACATCTAGGTCACTGGTTTGATTTTCCACTTTTCTTGGCCATAGGTGGATCTTTGTGAAGCACAGCGTCTGGTCTCTGTTAGGAGCATAGGAAGGACACTGCCATTTGGAATGTAAGTGTCCTAAGTCCCTATGAGGTGGGGTCAGATGAGGAAACAGATGTATCTGACCTCGGCAAAATGAGCAGGAGCTGCCCACATAACTGGCAAAGACCCTGAGCATGAAAAAGTGGGCCAAAGAGAGCCTTGTTTGGCCTAAGAGGTCAGTTTCCTTTAGCTTCCACAGTGTGGGAGGGAGAGGAAATGGAGTCTCCCAATTCTTTAGGACGATGCTTCCTAGATGCCTGGTGCACTGTTTCTTTCCAAGGGACCCAGGAAGAATCAGCCCACGAATAAGATGTATTATAAGACAGAGAAGACCAGCTCTAGTCAACTAGCCCTGTGGAACTAGTTGTAAAAATGCCTGGGATGAGAACCCATTTTCCTTGGGAAGTTTGAACTAATCCATTGCTTATCATCTGCTTAGGTGGCAGGAGAGCATGAGTGCCACATTCATGCCACCACTGGCTCCACCTGAAGGTAAAAATAGCTAGTAGAGGTCACAAGAAGCAGAAACTTCCAGAAGAGGAGCAGAAAAGGCTGTCTTGTCACAGCTCTGTAGGAGGAGAATTCTATAGGGAAAAAGTGTGACTTTGAGTATTAGGAAAATCCAGACTGGTCACGCAGCTGCTTGGAGAGTAAAGGATGGACTACAGAATGTGGGAGAGGGTTTAAAACAACCAACACCAGCAGTTCTCCCTTGTGCATGTTAAAAACCAGGAAGTGAGGGCTGATTTTCCTCACTCGTTCACCTTCATATGTGATAGAGAGTCCATAACTGCATAGGACGGAAGGAAGGGCCCCTGAGTGCCATGCGCAATGCTACCGTGTCAGCTTGAAAGCTTTTCACAGTACCAAAGGGATGTGCTGCTAGCAAGACCACTCAGGAAATTTTTGATGATTTACAAACTCCTTGGACCGGAGAAGAAAGCTGGCCTAGCTGGTGCTGGATCTGGCAGTGGTATGAGATGAACTTAACCGCAGAGCTGTAGCCCTAAGCAAAGCCAGCCCAATAATAGGAGAGATGGGAAAAAAATACAACCAAATCATCAGAGAAGAGAAAAGGGGGGAAGGACGGCTCTTCCAAAAACCTGTCTACAGAAGAGAAAACTATGATCGGAAGGACCTGAGTACAGGCTCCACTCACCAGGGAAACTTGGCCAATAAGAGGTAAGGGATACACTGGAGGAATCAGGGAGGACCTCAGATCCTCACCTCAGAAAAGGATGCACTTGTATTTTGGGAATGAGATTTTTGGGGTATCATCTCTAAGTTATTAATTAAAGGTGTCAGTGACATTCTGCCTACTACTAGGCAGTCTCTTGAAGGGCCCTCTACCACTGTGAGGAACTGTCCTTCAAATGACAGTCTCTGTAAGGCGCCTGGCTGCATTTAGGATGGGAAGAGATTGAAGGAGGTGGTCTTGCTGGTGGACGGTTGGACCCTGAAGCCTGTATCTCATTATAGGTTAAATTTTGGCCAGAATGATCTTGATGTTACTTAAGCAGTTTCTAGGCTGCTTTCTTTTTTAGGCTGAGGGTGATTCAAAGTGTAACTGGGAAATGTAAGAGGGACTCTGCCAAGGGCAAAGCAAGAAAACAACTTTTAATGGGAGAATTTCTTTCATTGGATTTGGAGCCAGAGGGGACACAAGGTTTCAACCATTTGCTAAGTGATCTCCTTTCCCTCTCTTTTCTTTTCCCAGTAATGCCTTTTAATTCTCACCAATCAACGAACTCAAAGCTCCAAATTGGACTCACCCAATGTCTACCAGAAACCTGCCACGGTAGTGGCACGGTGCTGCATATTTATCTCTTACACAGTTTGCCAAGCAGTTTATTAACCTACTATACAAACGTAATAGAGTTAATTCTCCAGAGGCTTGGATAATTAATGAAACATTTAGATATGAAGATAGCATGCGGAAAACAGCCACAACCAACATTTGCATTGCTTTTTTAAAAAAATCAGTGACAATGACAAATGTCATATTAATACCTAAGAAGCAAATCATTTTAATACATCCTGGAGTATCATCATCACATCCCTTTTAGTCATCTTTTTCCCCAGACCCATTTAGGATGGCGTCTGAAAAGCCACTTTTCACATTCTCTCCATTAAAAAAACACAAAAAACCCTAGAAAATGTTAAGTACTATACTGAAAAGAGACCATGCTCACCTTATCACGGCAAATGGCCACGGAGACACACTGTGCATTACAGGGACAGCACATCTCACGAAAGGTGGGTCCTGCAGTGGATTTCTGTCACAATCCACCGAGGAGAGGAAGAGAATGGACCAAGAGCAAGTGCTTCGTTTTTTTTTTTTTAAAAAAACTGAAGCGAGGCGAGAAGTTTTATTTCACTATATATTTACTTCACCAGCAGTGAAATGTCTTTCTTGAGCAAACTCACTCTTGAGCCTTTCTGTCTGACCAACAGTCTTCAAAGTTCAAAATGGAAATCTCTCTTGCCACAAGGTCTGCTTTTCCAAGGTGTTACCCTATCATCTCAACAGCTTGACCCTCTTGGGTAATAAGCCAGCCCCTGTGGTGACTAAGCTTGTCAAATTGGATTCTCTCTAAAGCACTGGGGACTAGTCAAGGTGGCTGTCACCTTTCTTCTTTCTCTCTACAAGTTCCTTCTCCCTGACTTTCCTTCGTACTCCGCCCCCGCTTTCCAACATTTACCCGCCTTTTGTTTTCAAATTTCTTGTTCCCTAGCCACGTGTAAGGTACGCCACATCCCCGAACCTAGAGCCCTCCGAAGATCCCTCCTGTCCTTCAGCACCAAACGCTGAAGCTCATTTGCTATGAGGACAGACAGTTGTCAGGCTAAGGCAGCAGCTCTGTCTGCCTTAGAAGTAGAAAGCAGAAAATACAATCCAGGAAACATGAGCACCAAACAGTAATTCCACATTCAGAACAACGCCATGCTGACAGCACACATCGGCACCACTCACAGTCACTTTGACCCCCCCAAGGGACAGATTGACATTAAGCAACTTCAAGGTTCCAAACAAGGATGGCATTTCTCACAGAACTGGACTGACACTGGTTGTTATCTCTAATCAGCAAAAGCGACATTTGCAATTAAAAAAAAAAAAACCTACTTACTTTGTAGAGAATAAATTCTACTCAGGGTGGGAACAGGCTTAAAGATGGCTCCTCGAGATGGACTAGAGCATAAAATGCTTTGGGTATAATAGTTAAAACTTTTTTTTTTCAGCCACAAAAAGCCAAATTGAATATACTTCTTTGAAAATAGTCTCACTGACATGTAACAGATTTGTATAGAAAGAAAACCAAACCAAATCAAAACAAACAACAGAAACCAGGTGGTCCTGGGCCACCATTTACTACCACTCAAAGACAATGGTGGACATGCATGCAAGTCCCCCTGAATCCTACGATATAGAAATTCTTTTGTTATTACAAAATACAAAAATATTTTATCAGAACTCTCATTTACATTGCATTTACAATGGACATGTAAATAACTTAGTTTGGGGTCCTGGCTAATAAAGTATTTACTGGAAAAGGGGTCCTAAAAGGAAGAGAACCAGAAAGAATATAAGTGAGCAGGTTACGATGTGTCATCTGGTAAGTGGCCACTCCACCTTGGAAAGCTATGACCTACCCTGGCCTCCACAGCCGGAGTTTCCAAAGTGGAATGTGCAAATCATATTTGACATGCCTAAAACTGTGACATCAAGTGTATCTACCAACAACCTGCAGCCTTGCCTCCCTCAACTGAGAGCAGTCTCCATCTCTCCCCTATGAACCATCCCCAAGAGCACTTGAGAATTCACGACAGTGCACGTTTCTGGGTTTACATTCTTAGCTCCCATCTTCCCCCGTTCCCCGACTCCAATCACATTATGAAATGATACAGTTTTTGCTCTTCTGTCTTTTCCTGCTGTGCAACTGTCCTCTGCCACTTAAGGTGGAGGATTTGGGGACACCGTAGGAGCTGTACTTGTGCAGCAGCTCATCACTGGTGACATATCGTAGGCGGGCTGGCTGGGGGATGGGTTCGCCTAGGAAGTAGCCCTCATTATCGGACTCTGAAGAGGAGGAGCAGGTGGAGCACCAATCATACTCCGTGAAGTAGGGTCCCCATCGTTCCCCAAAGGCATTCTGCAAAGCCAGATCTGACACAGTCCTGGGACACTGGCCGTACAGATCCCGCCGGGACCCCTGTCCCAGGCTCTCCTGGAAGCTCCGTTGGCGCATGAACTGGTCATAGTCCTCCCTAGCTCTTAGAGGGGGCCTTTCCTTCAACCGAGCGATGACCTCCCGCTCGCTGGCTAGGTGCAGGGCATTGTCTGAGCGTGAGCGTCGAGACCTTCTGGACCGGTGAGGGCGGAAGCGGCGGGTGTCATCCCTGGAAGTAGCTCTCCTCCGGGTGCGTTCACTCATGGGCTGGATGCGCACACCTTCCTGCCCTGGCAGCTTGCTGCTTGCTATGCTGCCATCAAAATCAAAGCTCTGGTGCATCCTTCCATGGGACTGTAAGTCCCTGTACCCTAGGGGGTTGCTGAGCTGGTGAAGGTTCCCCTCCATCTCCTGGTACTGTTGTGCAGACAGCAGGCTCCGGACAGACTCTGCACTCCTGAATTGCATGGAGGAGTTGAGAGTGCCCATGTTGCTCAGCTTTTCTGAGACATTCATCCCAGAGTCTTTGCTGAGGTCAGGCATGGAAAACCGAGATAGGTGCTCCTGGCGCTTGGCACCACCTTCCGCAGACAGGCCTGGGGGTGGGGGCAGAAGAGAGAAGAGCACCACTGCAGTTAACACACATGTAATGGGTTGGAGGGTGTCACTATTACTCTCAGTCTGGGGTCTCTTCATGGTGTGGCGTAACTATGACTGTGCAATACACCAAGGCTCTCATGGTGTCTACATGGCATGGGACTCTCTACACCGAGAATACATAAGCTTAAAACCATCGATAGACATGTGCTTTCGTAGTTACTAATCACTCTAAAGGCTTATGAGTTACTAAGAGTTCACTGTACTTCCTATGTTACTTTCCCTCTATTTAGAATTTCACGTCATCAAATACTTCTGCTGCATCTTCAATTCTAATCATGCTCTATCAGTTTTGTAGGACAGACGATAGCCATCTGGCCAGTGACTGGCCAGGCCTAAGCTGTTTCTTACCACAGTCAGCTTAGAATCTAATTCTAAAGTCCTGGGCTAGTTTACTTTGCTGGCCCAAAGCAGTTTCCTGTTTGGCCTGCTTCCCTAAGTGGCAGGTAGGCGTTCATTTCAAATGGCTTGGACACTAAGTGACTCTCTAGATGGAGAAAAAGAGATATTTATTCTCTTGGGTTGGTCAGTGATTGATTGCCCTAGGATTATAAATTAATCTCTAGCAGCCAGACGATATGAATTGTGCCCAGGACATTCCTCTATTCTCCCCCTACCACCTCCCCCCCACCCCCACCCACCACAAGGGAAGTGCCTTTAAAATAAGGCAGTGACCTTAATTACTATGGAAGAGCTGGTACCCAAGAAATGGGTCTCCATTCCTGAAGTGCTTCCACATTGTCAGGGCTGAGACAGAATCCATCCTGAAGACAGTGGGAGATGTGTACTTGGGGAATTTGCTTTTGTATATCTTTAAACAGTACTCTACGTATGCATCTCCATAGAGTTTGACCATTTTGCCATTTCTGGCCATCGGCAACAATAAGCCGTCATTCCCCTGCCACTGATTATCCCAAGGGAATCCAATATGTCCTCTCTCCAACAGACCCAAATCCATGTTGCAAACCTTTTAAAATATGGGGCAATATCTAAAGCTAAGTACATATATGTAAACATACATGAATTACGAATAAAACTACTTTTATGGGGGCTTCTGGTGTCCTTTATCCTGTGCATACAACCCCAAACAGGGAAGAGGCCTCAATTTTCCATTGCCATTCCTAGTTATATACCCAGTATAAGTTAGTAAATACCTTCCAAAATATGCATACATATTCTAACAGTGGAGCTTGTAAGAAAGCCTGGAACCAGAAATCATCTAAGTGCCACTCAATGCAAAAATGGATAAATACAGAATACAGTGTGATTCTGTTTGCCATCACTCACTGAAAGTTACCTGGGCCTGTTGGAGAAATGGATTTCAGGATAAAGTAGGAAAGAAAAAAAAAAAGGGTCCAGAACATCTTGTACAAAAAAAGAAAATGTTAAAAAATAAAGTGTGAGCCGGGCGTCAGTGGCACACGCCTTTAATCCCAGCACTTGGGAGGCAGAGGCAGAGGGATCTCTGTGAGTTTGAGGCCAGCCTGGTCTCCAGAGCAAGTGCAGGATAGGCTCCAAAGCTACACAGAGAAACCCTGTTTCAAAAAACAAAACAAAAAAAAAGTGTGATGAGAGTTTGTTGGAAGACCATGGTTCCACTTGAACGAGGTTCCCAATGGTACAGTTTGAACATTAAAATATTTATGGAAAGTAGTTATTTACAAACCATTGAAATTAGTGGGAATTTGTAATTTTATACTGATAACAGACAAGAGAAACAATAGTAAGTCAATAATGAGGGGGCTGAGTGGGGTTCTTGTGCACAGCAGGTCAAGGGAGTGAGTCTACAAAGAGGGAGGGGCTAGCTAGCCAGATGTGGAAAGTCATTTTGCAATTATTAGTATTTAAAAGTACTTAATGCACCTGCCGGGTGTTGGTGGCGGATGCCTTTAATCCCAGCACTCGGGAGGCAGAGGCAGGCAGATCTCTGTGAGTTCGAGTCCAGCCTGGTCTCCAGAGCGAGTGCCAGGATAGGCTCCAAAGCTACATAGAAAAGTACTGAATGCAAGGTCCCAAAGTGACCACATGTAGGGAGTAAACACCCAGTTAGAGAGTGCAGTAATACAGGAGCCTTTGGCAAACATTTAAGAGAGCCATGTAGAAGGTTTTCTCAGCCTGTGTTTGGCTTTGTCTTCTATACTGTATTTTCCCCCTCAAGAATGTCGTCGAAGCTGGGTGGTGGTGGTGCACACATCTTTAATCCCACACTTGGGAGGCTGAGGCAGGAGGATCTCTGTGAGGTTGAAACCAGCCTGGTCTACACGAGCTAGTTCCAGGACAGCCTCCAAAGCCACAGAGAAACCCTGTCTTGATGCGCCCCCCCAAAAAAAAAGAAAAAAGAGAAAGAGAATGTTGTTGATATTTTTCTCAATATGGCATCCATCATCTCATGTTTCCTCCTGAATGCACCAAGGGTACTCAAGTTTCCATGCAATAGGATGTAGGATACACTTCAAAATGCCTCCACATCGCTTACAACCCTGAATAAAACGTAACTTCAATGTAAGTAGCTTCTGTTCTGTACTGTGTAGGGAATAAGATAAAAGGCTGACCATGGTTTCATAGAGATGCAGCCATTAGACCTAACTGAATTCTCACTGGGGGTTGGCTGAACCCACAGGTGTGGAATTCGTACAGAGCACTGACTGTGTTCTATATCTCCAGTAATTTTAAAAATGATTCCAGCACTGACAACTGTCAGAGCAAGAGGAGCCTGGTGCTCCACCCCCCATTTTTCTTGCTGTTTGTCTCTGGTACATAAATCACAAAAAAATGATCTACAGCCATTTAGTCACTTTCAGAGCCTTGTGTAGCTGAAGATAGTGAGAGGACCCTGACATACTAAAATGATGAATGAGTGATCTGAGCAGATGAACTCTCCTAAGGAAGAAAAGAGAATCTTCCAAAAGTTACCCAGGGGGCACCATTATCTTTGCAGAAGTTTCTGTGTAAGTTATTTAGTGGGCTGAAGGTCAGCTTCAACAGCCTGGCAAGTATCATCAATTCTCATGGTGGCTTCTCACCAGCCAGCCTGGCAGTAAAACATTCCTAAGACACACGTAGACAGGCTCCTAGCTCCATGCTGAGGGGAAAGCGAGAAAAGTAGTTTCTTCTCTGCTCTAGTGGAGAAGTGGGACAGGGTTGGGCTTCTTCAAGCTCATATGTCCAAGGTGCCCTGTGGACCACCCCCCTCCATGTCCTTGAGAACAAAAGTACTCTGCTGAGAGCAGAGGTTATCTGTGTTCAGGCCCAGGGTCCATTAGTAATCCTGTCAAACAGAAGTCACTGTGCTGGGGGACCTGAGATGAGATCGCTGACTCCATCTGCAACTCTTGAGAAGCTTCTCCTGTGACTCACTGAGTCACGTTTTCCTTGAGGGTCTTCTTACATGTAAGGGCAGCTCAGAGATGAGTAACACGTGTGTACTTGTCTCTAAAGAGGGTGGCTTTGTGGTAATGTATTCATTGGGGGAATCCAGAGTTCTCATGCAAACTGCAAGGTCTCCCTCTACTCTGCTGCCCACCTCTCTATGTGATTGTTATCAAGTCAACACTTCTCGAGTACTCTAACCTGGCTGTGACTACAATCCCGTTCCTCCTTCAACACACCAATCTGTCACGCTTTCCTGGGAGAAACTCTCTCCTTTGCATGACTAAATTCTGCTTATTTAGTTCTCCACACAGATGGCAATTCCCCAGTGATAGGGAGCCATTCCTTTAAAGGTGATTTTGCCCGATGACCGTCAACTACTCTTCCACTTGACTTTTATTTAAGTTGCCCACTCTGTTCCAGTTTTTTAAAATCTGTGCATAAATTTATAGCTGAAATGGCTCTGCAAGGGAGCAGCAATCCTGTTCTCTGTTTCCTGCATTCTCACAGAACTAGCTGGATCCAGAATCTTAGGGTACTCAACGCATAAGTTCAGAATAAAGGCAAGTGAATACCTTTGACCTGGTATGGGCCAGGATGCAATTCCAATGTGTAAGGCTGTAAACACCCGGAACAAAATAGTGCAATCAAGCTTATCAGTCTTGTGGTCTCTGGCAAACCACTGTGTAGCTCAGCATCAGGTGTTCTTGATTTTAAAGCTGAGGAACATATGACTTATAATTAGCTCCCTGAACTGAGAAATGTGTTTACCTCATTGATCACAGCTCTGGAGGTTGGTTTAAGTTAGCAGTTCTCAGGTCCCCAAGACAGAATTATACCCTCACGGTTCATATTCTCATTGAGAAACATTTCCCCCTTCTTAAACTATGCACCGAAAGACAGCCACCTCCTGGCAGCGCCACTTTTAAAACTCCACAAGCTGCATAATGAAAATGGGCACAATGATAATATCTGGGTATGAAAGTGGCAGTGATACTCAGGGGAGGAAGAGTGAACTCCCTGCTTAAAATATGTCACAATTTTAATTCATCTGTGAGTTTTGTTCTATCAATCTTTCTGGTTAGGCTAAGTCCCAAGAGGGTGGGAATATGTGCTCCCGTTAGCTACTTCACCTCACCCACCATTCAGGATGGGCAAGAGTAGAGAAAGCGAGGCCTGAAAGTCCCCAGTGAAAGAAATCATACCCCAAGAACTTGATATACATAAAACAAACAAACACACAGAAACATCAGTCAAATGTGGTTTTATGAGAATGAATGAACATCAGGGAACTAAACCTGTGTTCTGACCCTTTGTAATGTTCGCTAGACTATCAGCAACCACCAAGAATAACTTGACTTCCCAGTGATGTCTGGGATTTCTTCCTTATACTGTTGACATTCAATTCTTTGTGTAGAAAGACTCATTGTCAAAATATGGAAACCAGTACAATGGATCAAACAATGAGGTTTCCCTGATGTCCCTCTACTTTCCTGAAACACAAGCACATTTCTTGCAAGTAGAGAGCACTGGTCTCTCTCTCTCCCTCCCCCCTCTCTCTGTGTGCATA